TATGCAAGGCAGTTTCAGTCCATTTTAGCCACTTTTGAACCACTGAGCAGGGGCGGACTGACAACTCATGGGGCCCCGGGCAATAGGGGATCATGGGGCCCCTGTGTCCTTGCCCACACTCAAAAAAGCTTTTAAAAAAGATACCAGGGGCATTTCATGGGGCCCCGAGTGCTCGAATGGTCAGTCCACCCCTGCCACTGAGAATCACAAGTAGTGATGGGCCGAACACCCCTCCATTTGGTTTGTGGTCAAACATTCGAACCTACCGAATTTACTAAGTCGCCTGCAGACACTCTGCATCATCTGGAATCTCTACTGAATGGTGTGATCAGAGCCCCAGATGCTGCTGAACCTGGGCGTTAGTGGAGGGCCCATACATTCACCTTTTGGCTGTATTATTTATCATGGCGAGGAATGGTGAGCAGGCAGTTTACCCTTTTCTGCACTGGCTGTCTGCCGACCTAGAATGGGTGAGCACCGAACTGTGTATGGGGGCCAGGAGGACATCCCAGTACAGAGCAAGTCCCAACAGGAGGAAGGGGAATGTGGAGATGCTAAATACTAAATACTATGTCTGCTGACCACCAGTGTGTATATGGGGGGGGGGGGGTGTGGAGGAGGGGGGTTGACACCAATGCTGGTGGTTATTATTGTGACCACTGACACCATAGTGGGGGGTTATTATTGCAGCCACTGACACCATAGTTGTGGGTTATTATTACTGCTATTCACCCCAATGCTGGGGGTTATTATGGCAACCACTGACACCAATGCTGAGGGTTATTATTTCAGCCGCTGACAGCATAGTAGGGGGACTATTATTGCAGCCACCGACACCAATGCTGGGGGTTATTATTGCAGCCACTGACACCAATTCTGGAGTTTATTATTGCAGCCACTGACCCTAATGCTGGGGGTTATTATTGCAGTCATTGACATCATAGTTGGGGGTTATTATTGCTGCTATTCACCCCAATGCTGAGGGTTTTTATGGCAGCCACTGACATCAATTCTGAGGGTTATTATTGCAGCCATTGACAACATAGTAGGGGGTTATTATTGCAGCCACTGACACTGATGCTGAGGGTTAATATTGCAGCCACTGACACCAATGCTGGGGGCAATTATTGTGACCACTGACACCAATACTGAGACTTATTATTGCAGCCACTGACACCAATGCTGGGGGCTATTAATGCAATCTTTGACACCAATGCTGAGGGTTATTATTGTGACCACTGATATCAATGCTGGAGTTTATTATTGCTGCCACTTACCCCAATGCTTAGGGTTATTATGACAGCCACGGACACCAATTCTGGGGGGTTATTGTGGCAGCCACTGACACCAATGCTGAGGGTTATTATTGCAGCCACTGACAGGATAGTAGGGGATTATTATTGCACCCACTGACACCATAGTTGGGGGTTATTATTGTAGCCACTGACACCATACTTGGGGGTTATTATTGCAGACACTGACACCATAGTTGGGGGTTATTATTGTAGCCACTGACACCATACTTGGAGGTTATTATTGTAGCAACTGACACCATACTTGGGGGTTATTATTGCAGACACTGACACTAATACTGGGAGTTATTAATGTGGTCACAGACACCAGTGCTGGGGGTTATTAGTGCAGCCACTTATCCATTATAGCTTAATGGAGAGCAGATAAAATGTATTCCATATGGGGGTCAGGGGTTGCATTGTGGAGGGGAGGGGGGGGGTGGGAGGACAGTTGGGGGGGACACCAAAATGCACCTTCACCTATCTAGACAAAAATCCTTGCACCAGCCCTGAATACTAGTACATTATGACCTAAACCTGCAGGAGGCCCAACATTTGGGGTTTTTTGTTGGGCGGTTTACTACCGTTTTAAAGATTGAACTGAGATTTGAATGAAAGCAAGGAAAAGCTATGCCAAAATTGTCAAAAATTATCACAATTGTCCACCCTGCTCAATCTGAGCACTTTCAGTCCCATCTGTTTGTGGTCAATTGAAACCACTATTTTATTTATCTTTTATTGCTGTGCAATTTCAACAAAAAATGAACCTGAAAGTAATGACCATTTTTATGGCCAGCTGCCAGATGTAAACCCAACTGATGCTTTTTACTCAAAAGGAGCATATATTTAGTGGATAAATAAAAGTATACAGCAGCTGAGAGATTCAAAACATGGCTCTCTTTTTCCTTTGGTTGATGGACTGAGAGGTGGAGATGAGTCCCATGAAGGCCAGCATTCAGCATTGAGAAGTGAAGGGGGCACACATCTGAAGCTGAGCAATAGTCTTTTTGTGTGCAAAGTTGGTAGAGTGTTGTTCCACCATTTGTTTATTGACATCTTCCATAAGAAAAAAAAAAAAAATCATAATAGTCTGCTATATCCACTCTTCCACAGCAGCAAAATTCTTTCATCAATTGTGAAACCAAAAAAGAAAAACCCGAGAGAGAAGCAGTTGGATGTGATTCAAAGCAAAGTGGTCTTTTATTTCTCAGCTCTCATGGGAAGCTACGTGTCTGGCATCATTGCTCCACTTCTCGCATTGATCAAGTGAGAGAATTTATATATGTGATGTGGAATTAACAACACCTGTAAATGAAGATGACAAATGAGAAGCCTCAATTCAGCTCTTTACAGTTAACAGAATACAGAGCACAGAGAATCTTTGAAGAGCCTACTACATAACAACAATATCCTACCTTCAAAAATATGCCAATCTTCATTTTGTGTTTGGGAAGACTTGTATGAAGGTCTGTATGAATGTTGAAACACGCATTCAAGGATGCTACTTCAATGTTTGAGACTTTAGTAGAGGGATTCTCATCAACCGATATGCACACTTTTTCTTGTAGTATTATACAAGGTAGGCCAAATATAGGTATACATTACTAATGGAATCATGGGATTTTATAGTAGGTATACGTTACCGACCAGATCATGGCATTTTACTTTAATTATATTTGTGTACATTTAATTTGTTTACAGTGAAGAAAATAAGTATTTGCTCCTCTGCTGATTTTGAATGTTTGCCCACTCACAAAGAAATGATCAGTCTAAAAATCGAATGGTAGGTGTATTGTAACACTGAGAGACAGAATAGCAACAAACAATTCAAAAGAAATGCATGTCTAACAAATGATGACTGATTTGCATGTTCATGAGGGAAATAAGTATTTGATCCCCTTCACAAAACATGACTTAGTACTTGGTGGCAAATCCCTTGTTGGCAATCACAGAGGTCAGATGTTTCCTGTAGTTGGCCACCAGGTTTGCACACATCTCAGGAGGCATTTTGGCCCACTCCTCTTGGCAGATCCTCTCCAAGTCATTAAGGTTTGGTGGCTGACGTTTCCTTCACTGTATAATTTATTTCCTTCACTGTATAATTCCTTCACGGTATAATTTCTTTTACTTTACAGGTACTGATAACAATATGGCCAAAAGTAGATAGACAGCATTGGTCAATGCTTATGAGATGAATTCCTTTAATGTATCCACTGTGTGGGGTTTCCTCTCCAAAAGCTTATCCTTCACAACGCCCCAAAAAGAAAAGACCTTAGCCAACAGGTCAGGTGAATGTGGCAGCCAGTCAATGCTGCCACATCAGCCAACACTGTGATGCGAAGGTCTGTACAGACAAACCAAAATGATTAGCGGCCCAATTAGAATATATAATGTATAACATATACTCACTGGTCACTTTATTAGGAACATCTTGCTAGTACCGGGTTGGACATCCTTTTGCCTTCAGAACTGCCTTCATTCTTCATGGCATAGATTCAACAAGGTGTTGGAAACATTCCTTAGAGATTTTGGTCCATATTGACATGATGCCATCACGCAGTTGCTGCAGATTTGTTGGCTGCACATCCATGATGCGAATCTCCAGTTCCACCACATCCCAAAGGTGCTCTTTTAGATTGACATCTGGTGACTGTGGAGGCCATTGGAGTACAGTGAACTCATTGTTATGTTCAAGAAACCAGTTTGAGATCATTGTGCATTATCCTGCTGTAAGTAGCCATCAGAAGATGAGTACACTGTTTTAATGCATTTACCCATTGGAACAGATTAAAATGTGGCTGTGGAACATGCAGCCATCTTTATCCCAGAAAATATTGCAAGAAGAAGAAAGAAATACATCATAAAAATGGGAGGGAGCACAGAAAAAGATGGTGCCATAATCAAAATGACCACAAGATGGCAGTATATTAACCAATAAACAATGGTTTAACCACTTCAATACAGGGCACTTTTACCCCCTTCCTGCCCAGGCCAATTTTCAGCTCTCAGTGTTGTCGCACTTTGAATGGCAATTGCGCAGTCATGCAACACTGTACCCATGAAAAAAATGTATGTATGTTTTTTCCCCACAAATAAAGCTTTCTTTTGGTGGTATTTTTTTTTTTTGCTAAATAAACACAAAACCCTGAAACTTTTAAAAGACAATTCCATTTTCTTCTTTTTTGTTATAAAACTTTGCAAATAAATAACATTTCTTCATAAATGTAGGTCAAAATGTATTCTGCTACATTTTTTTTTTAGTGAAAATACCCCAAATTAGTGTATATTATTTAGTCTGTAGGAACTTTATAGAGTCCAGGAACCACGGTATATATATCTGACAATCAATCAATCAATCTACTGATAGCCAATCTAATTTCTTGAGGCCCGAAAACACCAGCATAGCGTGAACGGCTGCTTTTGACAGGACGTCATATGACACAAATTTACAATGGCGAGTGTCTGGCCACCAATCTGCTATAGGCCAGGCGGGAAGGTGTTAAGGAAAATTAAAGTGTTACTAAACTCAGGACTCTGCATTCACTATATCCGGTCTACCTGGACCCTGCATTCACTATATCTGGTCTCCCCGGATCCTGCACTCACTATATCTGGTCTCCCCGGACCCTTCATTCACTATATCTGGTCTCCCTGGACCCTGCATTCACTATATCTGGTCTCCCCGGACCCTGCATTCACTATATCTGGTCTCCCCGGACCCTGCATTCACTATATCCGGTCTCCCCGGACCCTGCATTCACTATATCTGGTCTCCCCGGACCCTGCATTCACTATATCCGGTCTCCCCGGACCCTGCACTCACTATATCTGGTCTCCCCAGACCCTGCATTCACTATATCTGGTCTCCCTGGACCCTGCATTCACTATATCCGGTCTCCCCGGACCCTGCATTCACTATATCCGGTCTCCCCGGATCCTGCATTCACTATATCTGGTCTCCCCGGACCCTGCATTCACTATAACTAGTCTCCCCGGACCCTGCATTCACTATATTTGGTCTCCCCGGACCCTGCATTCACTATATCTGGTCTCCCCAGACCCTGCATTCACTATATCTGGTCTCCTGGACCCTGCATTCACTATAACTAGTCTCCCCGGACCCTGCATTCACTATATCTGGTCTCCCACAGTACACAGAACATGGAAGTGCAATTATTTTATTAAATATAAACTTCTAAATACCTGTTCTCATCAGACGTTAGAGCAGTCTTATGGCTTCTATCAGTGTCCAGCCCAGCACTAGTTAAAGCTTGTAAGAGGAGTTTTCTTTCTGCTCTAGGAGGATGCAAAACCCCTGACCTCTGTCTGACCACTGCTGACTGGGTCTGTGCTGATCACATGCACTCTCCCAAGGAAAAAAAAACCTCTCTAGCAATACACGCCAAACTGAGCATGTGCAAATGCCTACGGTTCAGTCTGTCTTATCAAGAGATAAGAGGTGGTTGCTTGAAAAAGGGGAGGAACAGAGAAGAAAGGATCAAACAGCCTTTTTACACAATGTGGAGGATTAACCCCTTAGGTTCCACAGTGAGTATAACAAGCATGCTTTACTGCATATACAGGCTGATTTTACTTTTATTGGTTTAGTAAAACTTTAACTATATAAATTCTCAATTCACAGTAATATGAACATAAGCCATTACTATGCATTGTATTATTTTTTCACAAAACAAGTGTAACAGCACACTCCACGTCTGGTATTGTAAACCTTTATATTACAACATAACAGTAGTTATGCAAGTGCATATAAACAATAGTGCTATTTTCAGTTGTTTTGAAGACCTGAAAGAAAAAAAGAACATGCAGATATTTGTAACTACATTAATGGTGATATAAGGCATCAAGTAGTGTCAATGAAAGTTCAAGACACATTCTTCTTGAGATGAGAAAATGGATCCAACAAACCCAGGTAAGCAAGTTCAGTCTCCAAAAGGCAAGAGCAAAATAAGTTCTTTGAGGGGTCTGATGATAGCTTTTACCATTCCTTTTCTAGTGATTTTCACCTCTACCTTACTGTCATCACTAGGAAGGGTCTTTACAATAAGCCCCATGGGCCATTCGATTCTTTCAGCTTGTTGATGTTTGAGCAGAACAAGGTCTCCAATTTGGAGATTAGGATTCAGACATTTTCTGGGCCCTTGCAAAAGAGAAAGATACTTCATCTTCCAATGATTCCAGAAGCAGTTGGTGAGGTGTTGTACTCACTTCCATTGATCATAGTATAGCGTCCCTGCTTTAAAGTCTCCAGGTAGAGCAGCAACAGACGCAAGCTTCTGGGAGAGAAGAGTAGCTGGAGTAAGGATGGTTAAACTCTCATGAGTAAGCCTTGTGGAGTTCAAGTCCATTAACATAGAGTCCAGTATCCTACGTGTAATGCCTACCATTCTCTCCCATGAGACTCCCATGTGGAAAGAATATTGAAGATTGAAAATCCATTGAAAGCCCTTTTCAGCTAAAAGGTCATGGACTGGCCTAGAATTGATCTGTAACTTTTGACAAGCTCCTGTAAAGTTAGTTCCACAAAGTTCAAGCTTGGGAATTGTGTACTCAGTCTTAGGTGATAATTTAGCTTTGACAAACAGAAACCCTACATTGGTTTGATTGAGAGAGTCTCTTACCGTGCTGTAGGCAACAGCTGATATGCCGTAAGTGGATGCATATGAGAAGAAGTAGATCTCTTTTCTACGACTTGCAGCAAGGGAAGTTGCAGTGTAGCAGCATGGTATGTTAATTCCATCTAAGGCATGTAGAGAATGTTTCCAGGATTCCCATTTTGAATGTTTGTGATAGTGTGAGCATCTCAATCGATAATAGTCTCTGATAGCTGTCTTAATAAGGATTTACCTTGTGTGGTGTTGGGAGCCACAAATCTCAGTGGATCGAATAGACTGTTTACCACTGACAGAACACCACATTTGGTAAATGGCTTGTCTGCAGAGCTGACTTGGAAGCCGAAGGTGTCTATTATTGGTTATTGGTCTATTATTGGTTTCACCATGAGCCCAGACTTCTCTTAACAGGAGGCATGTCCATTCTCAGATTAAATCTTTAAATCCTTTGTCTTGTTCCCCAGGCTGAAAGGCTTTAATCACAGCAGCACTGTTTGAAGCAATCTTATGGAGTCTGAGGTTGGCCTCAGAAAGCATACCTTGAGTCCTTTGGAGCAGGTCTATAGCTTCTTCATCTGTACGTATGGATTTGAGTCCATCGTCCACATAGAAGTCTATCTCAGTGAAGTGTACAACAACTTCACCATACTCTTTCTCGCCATCAAGGTCAGTCCTTCGTAGACCGTATGTTGCAACAGCAGGCAAGGGACTTTTTCCAAAGACATGTACTTTCATACAGTGCTCAATTGCTTCATTGTTCATGTTCTTGTCAGGGTGCCACAGAAACCTTAGGAAGTTCCTATGGTCTTCTCTTACTAAAAATCAATGGAACATTTGTTCAATGTCATAAGTTATGGTAACTGTGTTAGGGATCCGGGTATGACCAAAAATGTGTGGACTGACACAGGGCAGTAGCAGGCTTCAGGAACACAGGCGTAGTCAGGCTGGAGAGGTGGAATGGTCAGGCAGGCCATAAGGTACTGTCAGGTGCCGCCTGGCAGTGTCTCTAGCAGCCCACAGCACGGATTTCCTCAGGGCGCGGGGTCTACGTCCCAGCCTGCTATTCACCAGGGCCCCTGATGGTGGGGATGGACTTGGTGCAGACTGGTATCAGGTCACGACCCCTGAGTGCACCGGCTGTGGTAGAGAGTACTGGCAGGGGAGTGCAGGAACGGAGTCTGATGGGAAGAGGCAGGTAGACTTACTAAAGGTGATCCGTGTGGGATGGATGGATCGTCGGGTGAAGTAAGCGTAGTCAGACAGGTCGATATCGTGCAGGCAACGTGGTACAGGAGGAGCAAGCAGAGAATGGTCGGAGTCACAAGCCAGGTTTAGCAGGTAGCGGGCAGCGCAGTACCAAGGATCAGGCAGAAGGATGGTCAGGCAAGCCAGGGGTTCAACAGGAGACGGTCAGCAGAGGTCAGGATCAAAGCAGGGTCAGCAACGAGGCAGGAACACAGGATACCAGGTACAGGTGCTTTGGGAAACATACACCAAGGCCCTGATCACAGGCCTGGTCATTCCTTAAATACACTTCCTGCAATCAGCTTCAGGTGTTGGCTGACTGCAGGAGTGAGCTTCTGGCTGCTGAGAGCACCCGCTGGTCAACCCTGGTACTGCAGCCCACACGGCAGGTGAGTCCCACCACCAGTGCTGAGTCCATTCCTGACAAACTGGCTCTCTTCAGAACCTCGTAAGTACTCCTACAAGATTGTTGGTTAAGTTAAGACCAGTGGGAACAACATCATTCAGGGATATGCCTTGACGCTTGCCACTGGAGTCAAACATTACTCTGATTTGCTTTGGTTTACGTGATAGAAAGGCAGATACCAGCACTTGTCATGTTCTAGAAGAGGTGGAGTTGGCTTAGCGTGATCATTGTCAAAGATCCTTTTCATAAAGGCAATGAAATGGCCCTTTATTTCAGGCCTGTACTTTAGTGTTTACTGAAGTGAATTGAATCTGGATTAAGGGAGTTCACGATTGTTTGGAAGTCTTACTCTTGTAGCATGAAGCGGTAATGGTGCAACTCAGTTGTTAGATTCACCTTTGAAGAATTATTTGTCCATTATTGTAATAAACTCTCATCACGTATAGTGCAAAACACAGCTACCTAAGTTGTCATCACAGGGGATGGAAGTAACATCAAATACCTGGATGATGTCAAGAGGCTTATCCTTTACTTCATAATGATGAGGGCACTGTCTGAAGTGAAATGCACGCCCATTTCTTGACACATGACTTTCAAAAGAGTTGATATCAAATGGCATGCACATTCTATTCCAGCATACAACACCTACTATTACCCAGCTTAGATCAAGTCTTTGTGTATATGGGCATTGTCAGATCAATTGCACTGCTGAGCATACTTTATGTAATATGAGAATGTCTCTTCCCAGCAAGACTAAGATTTCAGCATCCATGTCCATTTGAAGAATCTCAGTAACTAAGTGCCTTAAGTGGGGATGGTGATACGCCGTGTCTGGAGTAGAAATTTCTTCCCTGTTCTCTGGTATTTGATCATGTTCAACTAATATTGGTAAAGATATGCCCTTCTTTGCCTTGATATGGGAGACTATGAACCCATCGGCCCTTCTGCAGAAGGTTTCTACACGATCAGAACAGGTGTTCAGAGTATATGGTATTGCATGTCCCTTTATGCCAAAAATCTCAAAGAATTTAGGTTTAACCAGGGATCTGTTGCTATACTCATCTATTATGGCATATATCCTGGTAGCTTTCTCATGTTGATCCTAATATATATTTTGACTAGACATACCTTGCTAATATATTATGGCATATATCCTAATAGCTTTTTCAGGTTGGCCCAGATATATTTTGACTAGACATACCTTGGCACAGTATTTGTGGCTTAACCCTTCTCCATAGACTTCAGTACATGAAGAAGAAACATTTTTTTGTGGCTGGAGAATGGCCTTGTTGCTCCCTGCCATGATTTGAAGAAGGGCTCAATGTTGATGGCTGTTGTGGATTGTCTGGAAGTGGAGAAGGAAGCATAGCTGTAATGTGTTTGTCCCTACTACGTTCTGTGCACTTGATGACAACTTTACAACTTTTAGCAAAATGTTCATAGGAAGCACAGCACCTATAGCATATTCCAAGTTTCCGGAGAATCTTCCTGCGCTCTTGTACAGCCTTTGCTGTAAGCCCACAACATTTCTTAAGAGGGTAAGTTTTTTTGTGACTAGGACACTGACGAATAGGATCTTTATCTGTTTCACCTGAATCACTCTGGTGAGCAGGAGAGGATACCGGAGGTGAGGTGTCTGTCTTTTTAGCAGATACTGCTCTATTTAAGTCTTTGTGTTTAGCTGCTTTGTTATCATACCTTGATGATGATGAATTGGGCAAGCTAGATTCACTAAAGCTGAAGCTGGGATCAGTTCTCTTCCAAGCTTGTTCACTGATGAACTTGAAAAACTATGAGAATGAAGGAAAAGATACATTATAGTCTTTTTTATAGTTTGAACCCTGTTGTGCCCATTTCTCTTGCCTCTTCT